CTCTATGCCCGCCGCACTGCCCGGTAGCTCGTACCCCGGAATATCCTAATGAGACCAGACGCCCGACCCCAATCGGGGAACGAACGGCTTTGACGAACCAGGCAACAGCAGGGAAATCCGATGCGAGAGAGCGAGAGAGAGAGTTCAAGTTCCATCTGTGTCAGCGTTTCGAAAGCTTCCATGCAGCCGAGTAGCTTCATCGCAAGTCGGTAACTCCCCTGAAGCGATGGATCGAAGTAAGGCACGCTGGAAACAACCTCCATCCTTCCAGCGCTCAGTTATTTTTTTCTCTCTCCTACCGCCAGTTGCTTGCCGGTTTCTGCCTCTTGCATCCGGAACGCAAGCGGTTATAAGCTTGCAACATGTCACCGTCATGTCCGTAAAGCCCGCCCGTCGCAAGCTGTATTACTCTATCTGAGCGCGCACCTCGCTTCGCCGTTTTTAGCATCATCACCAACCGCTCGCTTCTCCCATGAGGGGGGGGGGGCACCGGCTACAGTAGGCCAAAGAGGTGTGGTTGCCAAGACGGAAAGTGCCAGGTGATAAGCATTCGCGGTCGCGAAATTTTTACGGCCAAAGTCGCAGCAGGAATGGCGCTGAAGAAGCAAACACGGGCGATTTCCTTTTCGGAGCCCACAAGCAACCCTTCCTTCTGGCGCGTGCCCGTCCGCCCGCCCGCCCGCCACGCACCGGCGAGATCGGCCGACGATCCGCCTGCCAGGAAGCAAGGATTAGGGGGGAAGGGCGACCCAGAAGCACCTTGTCTTGCTTGTGCACAGGATGGAGATGGAAGGGTGTGTAGCTTATGGGTGTGGTGGGCCGGGCAGGGTAGGGGGGAGGGGAGGGGCGTGTTGGAGGACAGACAGCAAGGCCGCCCGCGAGCGCGACGACGACGAACCCAGGCTGGCTGCGGCAAGAACCCCTTACCATGGGGATGCCTGTAGAGGACCAATTGCCGGCCGGAGGACGAGAAGGGAAGGGGGAGGAGGGCAGAGAGAGGACAACGCGCGCAGGGCCCAGCGCATGCAGCAAGTTACCAAATAGGCGAAGCGAGGCCCGTAACGCACGGGGCAGGGCCAGGCGAAACAGCCTCTTCTGTTGTTTTCTCGTCGGGTCCGGCAACATGTTCCCGAAGAGCCTGCACCTGCAATCCTCTACCCTACCCTCCCCACTACTCCACTCCCGGTCGGACGACGTTCACGTCACCACGAGAAAAAAAAAAAATATTGGGGTTTCTTGGGCCTGAGCTTGCCCTGTCCTTCAGCGTCCTTTTGCAGCAAGCAGCGGTTCGAGCTAGTCCGAGTTTCTGCCTTCTTCCGCCCAGCAAATCATTGCCCATGGTTGTGTCCCTGCCTTTTTCGTTCATGTCGGCAGCGAGAGTGGGGCTAGTGCAAACCTTCCCCCACGCTTTGTCTCGGGGGAGAAGCTGTTTCCCTTCCGTGTGTGTGTGTGATGTGATGTGATGTGATGTGATGTGATGTAACGGGTACTGGACCGTGGTTGCAGGCTTACGTTTGTTTTTCTTTTCTTTTTTGCCTGCCGGCAAGGCCTCCAGCTGCAGGCGGCCAGAGAGATTTGCTTCATCTGGAACAGTCTGCATACCACAGCGCAAGGGATTGGGCAAAGCGCTGGCACAAGTATGACCAACGGCGGGGCTCCAAAGCCAGCACGGAAAGTTTGTTTTGCCAAGCACCCCACTAAAGTTAGAGCGGATATCATCATTTGAGACCCACTCTTTGCCGTCGGATCTAAGTCTTCGCACTCCTGGCAGCTCCAAGCAGCACCATCACTGGGAGAGCATGCGCTGAAAGGAGCCAGCCCCCCGTGCCGCCGATGGAGAACCAAGGGCCCCTGTCGAGGCAGGACCGGGGGCGTGGTCGACGGGTAACGCACCACGTCCGGCGGTGGCCAGATCCAAGGGGAGGGTGTGTGTGAGAGAGAGAAAGAGAGAGTGTGTGTGGCTTTGTGGCCCGCTGCGATCTTGCTCTTTGTCGTTATTTCTGCCTTCCAAGCCCAGACCCTGGTGCCGTGGATGGGGCGGGCGATGTCCACCCGCTTGTCTTTTGTTACGACAGCGTGCGGCTGGAAATAGTCTAGGATGGCCAATTAGCCGCTGCCGCTGACATATTTGCTCCCAGCGTCTCGAACTGTAAACTCTGGGAACCCTGGAGGCAGCGCGAGCCAAAGGGTCGCAGGCTCGGCTTACTTTGGTGGCAGGCAAGGCTTACTTTGGGGCAGGCAAAAAGAAAGCTGTCGTGTTTCCACCGCGAAGTCTCAGGCGGCACGAATGACTAGTTTGGATCCCTTTGGGAGATGCGGGATACTTTATTCGCGGCCCAGCAAGCATGTCGGCTATTGCGTAGCTGGGCTGATTGCTAATCTCATGTCAAAACAAGCTACTTGCTTGGAAAGGCGGCGTCAGCATGCCGATTCGGCCCTGAACTGTGTGTGGCGAGAGAAGGAACCTTCTTCTTTCTTTCTTTCCCGTTTTTGCACGCGGCATACTAAGTTCTGCCTCAATCTTTGGGAAGCCCAAACTCAACTTACTTACTGCCAAGGCCAAGACCGATAGCCTGACAAAAGAACGGCCATAAACGAGCGAGACAAGGAGGAGCTCAACCGCCCGCGTATCGGGGCGCACCTGGCGTTGGTTGGTAGACCCGCAGAGTTTGCCTTCAACATGGTTCGGGGGGTAAAAAGGGGGGCAGCCCAGGCCGTGTTGGCGTTGGCGCTAATCCCTCCGATATTGTGGCCAAGGACACACAAAAAAAAAAAACCAAGAAAAAAAAACCGGAGCAATAGGCAGATCGCGTGCTATGCCAGGGGTCTGTCCTTCTTTGTTCGTGCATCGAAAGACGGCCCCTGGTTGGGGATTCGATGCCCGCCATGCGCGGGAGGCTGCACTGGCCAACGGGGAGCTGCTGTGTTGCGTTGCTGGTGCCTCGTGCCCCGTGCCCTGTGCTAAATCTGGTGCTACTGTGCTGCTAGGGTAGCTTTGCATCATTGCTATCGAGACCTTCTCGGATATGGCAGATCTCTTGCCTATAGCGGTCAGCAGACCACTGCTCGATACGGCGAGGCTGGAGCAAGGTTTGGTCCTTTGGTTCCCCTTCAATGATTACCTTTTTCATCCATCTATCTACCTTTGGGCTTCGTGTTTTTTTTGTTTTTTTTTGCCTTTGTGTAATGTTTATCCCCCAATAAGAACACACACCCTTGGGCGGAGCTGCCGACAAAAAGGCTCGGCGACAAACTCTCCTGGCCGCCGCGTCTCGAGACTTTGTCGGCTGGGTTCGAACGTAAGCTCGCTGGCACAGCGTCGCAAGGTACGTACCCTTTAGTCATGGCATGGAGCGGTTTGAAAAGCCCAGGTTCGGTGGGGCCTGGGAAATCTGGGGCCCAGCAAGAGGCCTAACCGATATGGTAATTCCTCCGTCCCACTGCGTCACAGCAAGGGAGCAGCGCTGGATAGGCACACGCCCGGAACCCTCATCCCTCGGCTTCGCACCGAGGACGAAGGCGTACCGTCGCTGGACCCCCCCTCGACTAGGAACATGCTTATCCTCGGACCAGCCATCGCAACCCTGTCGAGCGCTGCGCTGCCAGGTCGTGTGTGTGTGTGTGTGTGCTTTGCCCAAAGTCAACATTCGGATACACATACATCGCCTGTCTGCTTAGCATTCCCGGGAAGTGGCACTTTTCCACAGGATCCGATGGGGGTGTGCTCCCACCCAACGGAGGCTTGCCCAACTAGGACAGTCGTACGACAGGGTTTAACACACACACACACACACCATCGAGACGAGCTTTATTATCTCTCTTCGTCCTGTTGGTTGTATAAAGCCCCCGAGCTGCCCGACCCCCATCATCACCCGCTACCTTCCCACGCCATCCCCCTCCCCAAGCAACCAAGCAACCAAGCCAGAACCCCAACCAAGCCAACCGACCATCAGCTTTAACAACATCCCCGCCCTTATTTCCTGCGCGATCGATCATCCAATACCCCCCCGGCACCACACCTCACATCCTCCTTCCTGGAGGGTATACCATCGGTTGTAACTCTGCTCGCACGGCGCCTCTCGTCCTCATTCAGCGAGGTGCAGATCCGTCCCCTGGCTCCTCGGCAAGCCACCGTCGCTTCATCCTGTGTAGCCTTCCCGGATCTCACCACATTTCGATTCCCTGGAAGACGATCCACCGCGTCTCTGTCATCCCGTCACATTCCTACGGACCAGAGAGCCCCTAGACAGCAACCAAACAGCCACCATCACTAGGCGAAAGCAAGAAAGCCCACCACCACCACTACCACCACCACCCCGGTATAGCAGGGGGAAAAAAGCAAAGAAAGCAAGCAGGCCGGGCTTTGGCCGTTGCCTGCCGTCTGCCCCCCTTTCGTTCCGAGTCCTCCCTGTCTGACAAAAACGACCGGGCACCGGAACTGGCGCCCCCACCCCCATCTCGGGCACCCGTCTCCCTCCACTGCAACAAGCCGCCGCTCGGCTTAGCTTTGTTTTTATTTTATTCATAGCACTAGCCGGCCTTTGGTAATTTTCAAACGGCCGCTCTTCCAAGTACCCCTTCCCCTCCTGACCCTGTCCTACCACACACACCCACGCACCTTCCTCCCCTCCAGCTTTATTATAATATCTGGACGACGGGCCTCGGTCTCCCTTTGCCAGCCCTCCGCCATGCTGTCCATCCACCCGCAAGACATCCCACACCACTACAGCCACAGCCACTCATTACGCACCCTCTCTTACCCGCCGCCGGACCAGATGCCATACCTCACTCACTTCAGCATGGCCGCCGGCGCCGCCACGGCACAGGAGAAGGCGCAACAACAAACACAACACCAACACCATCGCCGCCAGCAGGAGCCCCAGGACACGTCGGTTGCGCAGGCCCTCGAGGTCGCGCGCGAAAGCCCAGACGGCGCGCGGGACCCCACCGTAGCCAGCATCCTTGAGACAGCCCTCACCCAGCTGTGGTCAAAGGTCGAGTCCCAGCCCGACAGCTACGTCCTGACGCGCGACGAGTTCGCCGTCTTCAACTACTTCCAGCACCGCTTCATGGACAACAAGCTGGCCACCGCCGCCCGCAGGCGGTACTGGGACAACACCAGCGCATAGCACCTTGGAGCATCGTCACTGGGTCTATAACAACGCCTTCCAGTCGACACCTTTTACTTCTATTTTATTTAATAGAACCATACACGAGCAACTTGGGGGGGGGGGGTTAGGGGGG